AAGGTGCTGTGGGGTTGGGAGAGAGACAGATGCCAGCCATACCTAGAAGCAGAATCTTTGATGTGGTGAAAAACGTGAAAGTGTTCACTACAGATGGTCTGGTAAGCAAGGTGAGCTTGCTGCGTACCTTGCCTATTGGATAATCTGTCCCTGGATCGGACTGTCAAGATCCACAGGGTTCTCACAGGCTGATTTTTGGAAGTAGATTGCCAGACCTTTCTTCCTAACTCTTCCCTAAACAGTCTTTTATTGAATAACGAAATGTTTCAGTTGTGGCCTTTTACTTTGGGGATAAAGGACCAACTTAATAACATGTTATAAAAAACACGTGAGATTTAATTTCCACCTGATCCTCCAAAGTTGGCTCCTAACACCTGCCAAAGCCTTCCCCTTCCACGCCAACCCTATTCTCTGCCACACTGAAAACTTACAGTTCCCCAAAGATGACCTTCCTGCTCACCCTTTGCCATCGTGGCTGCCTGGCTACACACCACTGAGCCCTCCACTCTGCCCAAATGGCCCCTCCAAGGGCCTTTTCCAGACCTTTATCCTCAAGTGTGTGCCAGGTGCCCCCACCATGGCCTCCCACAGACGTCCCGGGCCTGCTCCCTGCCTTCTGTCCCAGCACCCACTGCATGGGACCGTAAACTGTCTGCTTATATGTTTGTTTGACCTGTTATACTGGAAACTTCTGGAGAGCAGAGGTTCCTATTTTAGGTGCTGTTCCCTGGTACCCAGTACAGAGGTTGGCATAGAGTTTGTGTTCAGTACACATGTGTTGAATGAAGTACAATTGAGGAGTCAGGCATTAGAAACAGATCTTGTGTTTCTGAAATTCCCCATCAAGCATTAGGACAGATATTATGCTTCTGGAATTCCTGAGGTGGGCAGAGAGTTTGAAAACACAGAAATATATTTGACCAGCTTGAATCCTTTCTGGCCAATTATAGAGCCATTGGCGGTAAATCCAGTAAGAGCTTTGAAACAAGATATTAAGGTCAAAGCAGAACAACAATCAAAGATACAAACAGCAAAAAAAAAAAGACAATATTTTTTAATTTTAAAATGCTCCACAAAATTAATCAATAGATTAATTCATCACCAGGAGGTTTTAAAAGATCTTGGATTTGGTCTTTCTTCTCTCCCTTCCTCTCTCTTTTCCTCCCTCATTCCATCTCTCCCTTCTTTTCATCTCAACATCCATTCACTGTTAGCTAATTATTTACTAGGCACCAGCTGTGTGCTTAGGGCTATAATATGGACTAAGGAGTTAGAGGTAAGACACAGTCCTGCCCAAGTGAGCAGAAAATCAACAAAACCAAACCCGTTGCCATCAAGTCGATTCTGACTCATAACGACCCTATAGGACAGAGTAGAACTGCCCCACAGGGTTTCCAAGGAGCACCTGGTGGATTCCAACTGCCGACCTTTTGGTTAGCAGCCATGCTCTTAACCACTATGCCACCAGGGAAGGCAGGATAAATGGGTAACAATGGTATAACTAAGCATTAGGATACAGTCTGGGTAGCATGGGGAGAGGAAACCACCCTACTGGCTGATCTGGGAGGGCTTCCTGGGAGAGGAGACATTAACAGTTGTGCACATGATGGGCATCAAGTTATTTACATCCACTAAGCTTCCGGTGAGTTTCCTGCTACACAGGGAGCCAAGAAGAGGAGAGAGGGACCTGTGAGCCGGTCCACAAATCTCACTGAATTGCCACCATGAGTATGGTTGGCATACTATATCCTACCCACTGTGGCTCCTTCAGAGGGAGGGCAACTGCCCAGGTGAGCTAGGCTTCTGATCATCAATCCACCACCATAATCAGTTGCCATCAAGTCCACTCTGACTCATGGTGACCCCCTGCGTGTCACAGTAGACTGGGCTCCACAGGGTTTTCAATGGCTGATTTTTCGGAAGCTAATCACCAGGCTTTTCTTCTAAGGAGCTTTTGAGTGGACTCAAACCTCCAACCTTTTGGTTAGTAGCCGAGCGTTCTAATCGTTTGCACCACCCAGGGACTGCTGGTCATCAATAGGCAGGCTTTCAAAAAGGTTTTCAATACTATTTTTTTAATAGAAGAAAGACAAAGAGCTTGAGCAAAGTGAAGACTTGGCAGTTTCATGGGTTTCCATCAAGACTAGAAACATCTTGCAATTCCGAGATAATTTGGATCTCTAATTTAACATTTTGTGTATTTTAAATTAGCAAGTTCACCACAGAAGTGGCATGGCAGAGTGTAAAGGGCAGGGCTTGGCATGAGCCTGGTTTGCTGCGTGACCTTGGGTCAGTTCCTGGACCTCGGTTTCCTACCTCATTATATCCAGTGGGTGGGCCTGTGGCTGAGATGAGGGTGAGCTTGCACAGAAGTGTACCTGGCACAGAGCAGGCACCAGTACATTGTAGTCAATGACATCAGGGGAGTGTGGAAGGTGTTCAGTGAATCTCAGCCGCTCCTTAAACTCACCACTTTGGGAAGAGATTTTAGAATTACTAGTATCTTTATCTGTAGAGCCAGAATTCCTTCCTCTACTATTTTTAATTTCAAACTCTGTGATTTCATTTGCCTATATCAGTGTTTCTCAATCCCACCTTCAGAAACACTGCAGGGCATCTATAATTATCTCAACCAGTATAGCGATGTTCTTATTTAAAAAAAAAAACAAAAAACCTCACAACACGGAATTTATTTTAATTCACTTCCATCCATATTACAGATTTAAAAACATCCCATATAAGCCATATGGCACTTTAGGAAATAGATGAGAAATTGCTGGAAAATAAAATAAACAATGTCAAGATTTCACAATTCCTTTGAGACCTGGAATTCCTAACTCAGAGGAACATGTACTAATCCAGATGCTGTATTTGCAGAACCCTGGGACCCAGCAGGATGGGATTTACTGAGAATGAATTAGACAGTTGCCCTAGGCTCTCCCAAACGTCTTCTCTATTGGCTTGACATCCTTGACCTTGCCACATTGCCCGAAGTTCCACCACTGAGTGATCCCCTAGGGTTAATGAATCTCTCTTTAAAGAGCCTTTATCTGTACTTCTGTGAGGATGACAGGGGTCAGCAGCCATTCACATCTCAACATGAATTAGTTCCTCCTGGAATAAACTGACAGTAACCCTCTCTGAAATCAGCTACACTGGGGGCGTAGGGATTTAGGTAGTATAGGGAGAGGATGGGAGTCCCCAGGTGCTGCAAATGGTTAAGAACTTGGCAACTAAATGAAAGGTTGGCCGTTTGAACCCATTCAGAGGCGTCTCAGAAGAAAGTCCCGGCGATCTGCTTCCAAAAGGTCACAGCCATGGAAACCCTATGTAGCACAGTTCTACTCTGTAACATATGGGGTTGCCATGAGTCGGAATCGACTCGACAACTGGTGGTGGGGTTGGGGGAGAGAATGGGGCAGAGATAGGATAATAAGGAGAGAGAGGGAAAGGATTATAAAAAATCCAGCCATAGACCAGGTGGGGCAGGTAGTATACACAGTGGGTTCTGGAGGAAGAAAGGGATATGAATGCGTCCGAAAGAAGCAGGAAGGGATGCTGGGGGACTCGGGCAATGAGGACCATAGAATGGCACTATTTCATCTGCTTCATTAAACAACACTCATTCTACAATACCTTTCCTACCTGCCTCCATTCTCCTTCTTGATAATTTAAAACGCTTAAAAAAACTAACTCTCCCCCAAATCTACACGAAGACCAACTCCAGGTATGCTGAGGCCAATGCTTCTTCAGGGGCACAGCTGCCCTGAACAATTAATGCCACCTCCACCATCTCAACGCTGCACAGCCCTTAGAAATCGTCACTTCAAAGCTTCAGATTCAAACCAGACCCTTCATTTGTCATTGACAAGTGTGACACTGTGGCCCTTATGATCAAAAATCATGAGACTCGGGAGTGAGTCATAGATTTTCCACTTCAGAAAAGAACATGCACTTCTCACAGCCAGCGCTGTGTCACTGTTTTCTTCAAAGTCCTCCGGCCCCTGTTCTCCACTTGTATCACCAAACCAAGGCTGCAATGTCACCCAGAAAAGACAGTAGAGCATCAAAAAGGAGACACTGGTGCAGAGACATGCTAATGAAGATCATAAACTTGGGCTAGGCATCCAAGAGAGCTGGTTTCCCATGAGCTCAATGCAGAGCAAATGGACAGCCTGGAAGCTGGCAGGTCCACTGACCAGTGCTGGGAATTCTGGTCCTCCCCAACTTCAAGTTGTGACGAGGGAGACAGTTTCTATCCTGGCTTTAAACCCTTTCCTTACCATTGGCCTAAACAGTATACCAGCCACTTCTTATGCCCCTGGAACTCAGAGGTAAGGTGTTATTCGGGTTCTAATGGATTTAGCATCAAGGTGGATCCCTTTTGAAACATCGGAGCTGGAGCCTTATTGTTGTGTAGGTTGAGCATTCCATTAGGTGATGCTTCGTGGATGTGTTAGTTTTGTAGACTTTTGCCTTTTTTCCCTTTCCTTCTGTGAGATCAGGCTTGTGAGCATAATTACGGCTTTCCTATGTGACAGTTAGGGATCCCTGATGGGTTTGTTTTGGTTTTTCTGTGTCATATTTGGAAAACCAGAGCTTCCCATGTGACCTAATGGAAAGGTGCCAGGATTAAATTATCTACCTAGTTCTCAGTGGCATACTTTCATGGCACCAAAGTGCCACTCTCTCATTGACAGATTGTATTTCCAGATTATATTTCTCAAAATCCATATGACCAACCAAAAATTTAAACACACTCCATTAGTAAGTATGCATTCCAATACTGAAAACACATGCCATCAAAAATTTACAAAAAAAAAAACCCAAAATTTTAACGAAAGGGTTTTAATTAAGACGCTGTTCTCTCCCTGGGCTGATTTTTCCAAAAATCAGCAAGTGAAAGAAGCCCAGTACCTAACCACTGCCATCATCACTGGAGCAAGCAAGCTAACCCTACAAAGAAGCGCGTGGAGAAAAGGAGGAGGTGAGCGCCGTACCTGGTCCAGCTTCCAGTGGAACTCTGCGGGTCGAAAGGTGTCAGCCTGGTCAAAGTCCTTTCGCAAGAGGAAGACAAGGCGGCAGTTATGCACATACAGAGCGTAGTGATGCCGGTTCATTTCTGAAAAGCAGAAAGAGGATTTGGGGGATGACAGACTCCCTGTGTCAATTTCCGCCAGAGGGGTCTTCCTGCTATATCACTTAAATCAGTTGCCCATTGAGTCGACTCTGAGTCATGATGAACCCATATGTGTCAGAGTAGAACTGTCTTCCATAGGGGTTTCAGTGGCTTGTTTTTTGGAAGTAGATCACCAGACCTTTCTTCCGAGGTGCCTGAGAGTGGACTCATTCCAGTCCTTAGGTTCGCAGCCAAGTGCGTTAACCATTTGCACCACCCAGGGACTCTACATCACTGAGCTCACCTCAAAGACAAAACAAAGGGATGAACATTGCCATATTCTCTTTTATAATTAGTCCTGATGAACATTCTAGAACACACGTGGTGGAGTTCACTGAAACGGGAGAGGCAGAATCAAGGAAGTCCAAAGCAAAACTTCTGTCAAAAAGCCATTTAAGTGCACATTTCATTGGCCTGCTTCCTTTTGTATATGTGAGCAGTGTTATTTCATATGTGCTATACAAGTAGTTGAAGGTTAATTAGCAGCATAAAAAACAAAAAATCCAAACCCACTGCCGTCGAATTGATTCTGACTCATAGCAACCCTACAGGACAGAGTAAAACTGCCCCATAGGGTTTCCAAGCCTGTAATCTTTACAGAAGTAGACTGCCACATCTCTCTCCCACAGATCGGCTCGTGGATTCGAACTGCTGACCTTTTGGTTAGCAGCTGAGTACTTAACCACTGCACCACCAGGGCTCCTTAATTAGCAGTATAACTAAATAGCACTGCTGCCAGTCTCCTTCAAATAAATAAATAAAATAATTAAAAAATTTAAAAAAAAAAAGTCATTTGGACTTTAAATACTGAGATACTCAGATACTCAGATACTGCTTTTTTTTTTTTTAAGTGCAAATACTTCCGGGAGGGCTAAGAGGACTTGCTGCCTATCACATCAGCCACTCTGGGCCCCTTTAATATAGTTGGCTTCTCCTAGAATTCTGGAGTTTTCTTTCATCAGGCTTGCTGATGGTACCCACAGAGCATGTCTCCTTTCTCTACCTATTATGGGCTACGTGGAGCTGCCTCACTTTCAGCAGCTGGACAGAGAGGATAGGTTGATTTTCCAGCATCAGACATGCTGGAAACTTCAGTGACTTTCCACAGCAACGAATAACCAGCCCGTCCCCAAACACAAGCAGTCCCTGAGACCTTTCCTCCCTCACTGGTATGAAAACTTCCTTTCCTGTTTGGGAAATCTCGTGTCATGGGTCCCAGCCATGATGCCTATAGCCACATTGTTCTTTGACCAGCACTCACATTTTATTACATTGCAGCATTTACTACCACCAGGCACATGCTCCATAAATGTTGGTTGCATGAGCAGGTGAGGCAGAAAGAGCATGAGTGGTAGATTCAGATAGACTTTGGGTTCAGCTGAGTCTCTAGGGCACCTTGAGAGAGTTATTTAGACTCTCAGAGTCTCGGTTTCCTTGACTGTATTACGGTAGGGATGCTGGATTATCCTAATGTATCATGAGAATAGGATACTGTGATTGTTTCCTGTGCATTGATCCAAGCTTTGCCCATGAGGTTTGGGTGGGAGGAATTAACACCAACCCCACTTCTAGGGATGGGCCCTGATTTGTCCAGGCCAAACAAGCTCATACAAACCCCTCTGCCACAGAGATTGGTTCAGGTATCCTAGGCCCAAGTCCAGCAGCAGAGGACAGGAATTGGCAAGTGACCCAATTCACGTCAATGATATGGGGGGCTTTCTGGGCATTTCTGGTAAAGAACCTACCTCTCTTTTAGCAGAAAATGAATAGGAGGGACATTCTCTTTCCCTCTTTTCTGGGAGGCCTGGAGCTGCTGCAACCATACTTGCTAACATGAAATTGATCCACGTACAGGGGCAGATCTGAGACAATTGCAGAGTAATTGAGCTAAGGCCTTGATCAAACTCTGCCTGAAGCCATCACAGGTCAGAACATTTTTAGTTATGAGAAGCCCACATTCCCTTTATTACTGAGGTCAGTTTGATCTGTATTTCCTGTTTCTTGTAACCAAAAGCATCTTAACTGACACAATGAGAAAATGTGTGTAAAACATCTTCCCAGGACAGATGCTCAATACTGACAGTTATTATAAGGACTGTTACACTGCTCTGTAATCACAGCAATAGAACATTGCAATGTCAGATGCTGTTTTCCCAAAAGCATTACCATTCTTCAGAACCTACCCAAAGAACAGCAGGAAGGAGAATGGTCAGTTGCTAAGTGTGGCAGGGGTGGTCTAGGCAACTGTCTGGGTGACTCCTATCCTATGGATTACCAAAACACCCACCCAGACTTGGTTATGGGGGTTTAAGTAAATATTTCTTGTCCCCCTCACTAGCACATATTTATAGCTTATTTCCTATAGTTCCTCTTGCAATATCCTGTGGTAGAGACATTGCTATGTGCTCACCTAACCCTGTCTCCTTTGTTTCCTGACACACAGCTAAACTCACTTCTCAGCCTCCTCTGGGGTTAGGTATGGCCATGTGACCGAATTCTGACCAATGAAATAAGAGCTGAGGTGAAATATGCCTCTTTCTGGCCTGGCCCATAAAATCTTTCATGTTCAACTCTCTGTTCCAAGTTTCTGTTCTGTGGCTGAAAATGGGAGCACGAAAAGACGAAAAGATCCTGGGTCCCTGAGTGTCCGCAAAGCAGAGCTTCCCCATCCCCACTCGTGCCTACACCATTGGACAATGACAAGCGGGAGAACCACCATGAAAAACTGTTAGGCCACTGAGCTTTTGTTAGTGGTGTGGAGTGGCAATAGTGGTTTTCTTTTTTCTTTTTCTTCCTCCTTACTTTTTCTTTTTCTCTCTTTTTTTACTGCAATTAGCCCTTGCTGACTAATCAATTCTGTTATCCATCTGTTTATAAGTTACTTCCTGATGGACCCACCTTAGTAAGTTTTACTTAGTGGACCAGACAGACATTAGGGTAATCTTCCCGAAGGGATATTTGACAATTTATATCAATAGCCTTTCCAACAATTACTCTTCGACTCAGTAAATCAACTTCTGGCCTGGAAATAATCAGTAATGTCCACAAAAATATATACAAGAATGTTCATTACATCGTTGTTTTAATTTGCATTAAAAAAGGAGATAATCTAAATGTCTATCAAAGGGGACCAGTTAAATGAAGTATGATAAATCCAGATGACAGAGTTTTTAGGCTGCCATATAATTCCATATTTTTTAGAGAATATTTAACATATAGATAAATGATCTGAATAATATTATGTAATAAAAGATAACAATAATATCATACATATTATAAAAAAATAGATTGAAGTTTGCGAGGACAGTCTATACACGGAAAACAAAAATAAGATTGCAATAATATGTACCAAGTGGTACCAAAAATTATCTCTGAGTGCTAAGATTTTAAGGGATTTGTGTATTCTCTTTTATACTTTTCTGTATCTTCCCTATTTTATACTATAAACATACGATATTTGGTGACTTAGGAAAAAAAACCTACTTCTATTAAAAAAAGACCTAACTGAGCTTTATTTATTCTTGATATTTTAACTTAAGGAGATATTTATGAACTTTTTTCTTTTTAGATAAGAGAAAATCTTCCTCATCTTTTTGGTGTCAATCTTCAGCTAATTTTCAAAGTGTCATCTTATACTAGGGACAAAGCTGAGCAGGACTGGATCTTGCTGATTTATTTAGTGGGCACGCTCATGAAAGTAAGGCAGTATTGTCTCATGCAAAGTTTTCAGCCATGGCTGACCAATAGAATCACCAGAGACTGATTTATTGAGCTGGGTTGAGGCTCTGGCATCAATACAGTTTTACTAGTTCCCTAGATTATTCTAAAGTGCAGCAGGGTTGAGAAGCCCTGGACCTAGTGGCATGGACCTGGATCAGGGAGTCAGAGACACCTGATTTTCTTGATAATTAGCTGTGTTATCTTGGGCACCTCACTCAACCTTCCATGTTTCCATTTCCTCTTCTGTAAGCAGGAACAGTGATATCTAACTTACCTCCCAGGGGTATCTGATACATTTCAAAAAGGACTGTATGTGTGTGTGGCTATAAACCCCAGCTGTGCTGCTTCCCATTCACACGTACCCTCCTAAGGCACTGTCTCATTGCTGAGGCTGGCTCACGGACCATGACATGGACATGAGTGTCCCACTAAGCACTGTGCTGACCGGGCCATAGGGTGATTCCTGGGGCCAGTGGGCTGAGCTCTGGACCTGGCCCAAAACCTCAGAGCCACCTCATGTAGGTCTGTAGATCTTTCTCGCATGAAGGTCCCAGAAGAAAATCCATCCTCAGCACTGGCTCTGGTTTAAATTTGCCATATGACTGGGGAAAACCATGCATCTCTCTCCGTCTCAGTTCCTACATCCAGAAAATACGCTAACGTTTATTGTAAAGATTGCCTGACACAGGGAATGGGGAGGTTCTGGTAGTGGCATAAAGCTAAATAAAACCAGAAAAAAAAAAAAAAATAAGAGCAACATCAGATAACATTAATGGAACACTGATTATCTATCTGTCACTGTTAAGTGATTTAAGTAGTTTATATTTCCTCCATTTTACAGATGGGGAAAGTGAGGCTCAGAAAGATTAGCAACTCCTCAAAGGTCATACCCTAAGAAGTGGTCAGGCTGAGATACGGACTTCAGCTCTTGACAGTAAAAGCTGAGCTGTCAGCCACTATTCTATTCTATATTGTTATATCTGTTGCAGTTGTCATTTATTCTGGGTATTTTAACAAAAGTGGTATTTTAAATGGAAAATTGTGGAATTAAACGGTCATAAGTACACCCTGGTGGCACAGTGGTTAAGAGCTTGGCTATTAACCAAAAAGGCTGGCAGTTTGAATCCACCAGCTGCTCCTCGGAAGCCCTATGGGGCAGTTCTACTCTGTCCTATTGGGTTGCTAACAGTCAGAATCAACTTGACGGCAACAGGGGAAAGTACAGTTCATTGTAACTCAAATACGTCGTAAGCCGGGGACTACCTGTATAGTCGTAGCTAACACAGATTGCATTTCTTATGCACCAGGCATGGTTTAAGCACTTTAAGTATATTAAGTCATTAAACCAAAAACCCAAGCCTGTTGCCATTGAGTTGAATGCGACTCCTAGTGACCCTATAGGTCAGAGTAGAACTGCCCCCACAGGGTTTCCAAGGCTGTAAATCTTTATGGAAGCAGACTGCCACATCTTTCTCCTGTGAAGCAGCTGGTGGGTTCAAACCACTGACCTTTCAGTTAACAACTGAGCTCTTAACCACTGCACCACTAGGGATCCTCTATTAAGTCATTAAATCCTCATAAAAACCCAATGATGTAGAAAATGCTGTGATACCCATTTTATAGACAGGGAAACTGAGACACAGAGAGGTTAAACAACTTGTCCAAGGTCACATAGCTAGTAAGTCATGGAGTACTTTTAACCACCAACCCATGAACTGGCTCACACAAGCTCAGCATGCAGAAAATGCCTAAAGAATGCTAGCTATCATTGTTATGCATGGCAGTAATTTCAAACTACTTTTAAAATCAGCAAAACCCTTTCATTCAAAAGAAAGCTTTAAAAAAAAAATCCCAATATATAATATAGGTAAAGGTGGAGCTGCTTTGCTTGAAGTAGGGATGAAGGTTCCCCCCTCCACCACACCTATAGCAGTCCTAAGGTATTCTGGGGATCATGGGGTCCTGAGGAACCCAGTTTGAAAAGCACTGATCTCACCTTTTGCTGTCTTTGTATCTGTACCTGTACTCTTCCCCATTTCTGCTCTTGCTCTATTCCAAGCCCAGGAAATCAGCAGCTGGAAAACCAGAGATGAGAACATATTCCCTCATGCTCCTGATTTTCTTTCGCATCCTCTGTGACTGTGTCCATGGCCAACCAGCTTGGACGCGACGGGCAGTCATGAGGAGGCTGGGCTAGAGACTCACCTGTTTTATCTGAGTTGCAGAGGACAGTTTCCTTCTCAGCTCTCACACCTGGGCTGGGGCCATGCTTCATCCACATAGTGATGGTGAACTGGTCTGTCAGGTTCTTGGGCACAATCCCGTCAGGGATCTTGGCACCCTGCTTGCCATCAAACTTGAAGATCATCTCGCTGCTGTCCACCAGCAGGCCCGCAGTCCAGTTGGTGGCAGTGCTGGGTGAAGGCAAAAGGTCAATGATGCCAGAGGAGGCTCCTGCAGGGGACAAGAGATATAAAGAGAAATAGGTCATTTCTCATGAGGCGGGTATCCACACCTTCTGTACACTGCTCCTGGGTCAGACATGAATCACTCAGTAAATGAACCTCTCACTAAGAGAGTCTCTGGCTATCACTGAGCTAACTGACTAGAGGAAAAGAAGGGCCAAATGCCATCCCTGCTTCTGAGTTGCTTATGGTCTATGTGGGGAGACGTCAGTAACTTACAGACAAAAAAATGTTGCATGGGCAAGACAGGGTGTGGTTATTATATAAAGAAAAAGTGCTGGAGGAATTTAGAGAAAAGGCAGAACACTGGGGGCTTTTATAAGCAGGGAGGATTCCTGGACAAGACCAGGGTTGACTTGGATTGAAGGATTCATTTGTTCACTCATCCATCCATTAACTTGTCAGCCATTTATTGAGTGCCAACCATGTGCCAAGACCCCTGCTAGGTGCTGGCAATGTAGAGGTGAGTCATACATAGTCCCTGATCTGGGGGTGGGGGATGAGAGCCAATAGTAGTTATATGGTGTGATCAGGCTGTAACTGGACTAGAGTTCTAAGTGCTGATCCCATGAGAAGTGTGAGCCACTGTGTATTCATTTAGGCCAAATGGTACAGTGATTGAAAACATGGGTTCTGAAGTGAGCAAAACTTGAATTTGACACCTGGCAGTGACTCTTACTAGCTTTATGCCTATGAGCAAGTTACTTAACGCTTCTGATTGTCCATCTCCTTCTGTAATAGCTCCTGGTATGCTGTAAGGATTGAACATGATAATACATTGACACCCTCAGCAGTGTGCCTGCCACACTGTGAAGGTTCACTTAATGTTACTTATAGCTGTACCATTACTATCATCATCACTGGTATTATTTCTGCTACTACTATCATTCCAGGCTAAGGCAGAAGAACTGAAGGTGGTGGAAGTGACGTCGGCAGATCTGTGTTTTCAGAGAATCGCGACAGCGCTGTTGAGGGTGGAGCTGAGGGATGGGTGAGAAGGAGTGACGGGCCTGGCAGAAGACACTAGAGTTCTCCTGCTAGGAGGATCCACTGTCACTTGGTGGAAGCTCAAATGCTGCCAGCAGAGTTCCCTGCATCCTTATTGTTCCATATAGGAGCAGGACTTGGCTATTTGGGGAAGAGGGGGCCTGGGGGCTTCCTGATACTGTCAGGTAACAAGAGTCAGGGAAAAGATGTGCCCTGTGCTGGGGGCTGGCTGTATGGGGCTCTCTCCTGGAACAGGCACTGACTAATCGATCATAAACTCTGATGGGTTTAATGGACAGTGGCTGTGTGGATTACCTGCCATTTGTCTAGGATCCTTGGCTTTCTGAATTCTGTCTGTTGGAGCCTAATCTCATCCTGGGGTTGGATCCTGAAGTCAGCCACAACAAAAAATCTTGTACAGTTAAAATGACCCTCGGAAATCCCACAAGAAGGTGCCATACGGCAAACCAATATACTTTTTTGAAAAACTTTAACCCAGCCAGTTCTCCTTCCAGCCTTGAGACAGATCACAGGGTCTACGGTTAGCATCCATTGGCTTGCAATCCAAGGTTATGTTATGTGAAAAATATGTTTCCTTAGAGTTCAGATGCTCACTTAGCACTGTGAGAGGCTCTCCCTGGGAGAAGCCTCCAGGAACTGCAGGGTCTGAGAGAGTGCGAGATTCAGGTCTCCCAGTTCACACTCACGCTATAGCTTGTGCTAATCAAGGAGAAATGTGGGCAGAGATGGCTACGTTATTTGCATATGTATTTCCTAGAGCTTTTGCCTAGTGCTGTGCCTGACCTATATTAGGCAGTCAATTAACATTTATAATTGCCCAGTGCCCCCATAAGATGCTTCCAGCTATCTACCCAATGCCAGCTAACCTACCCATGCAACCTCTTGTCCACGTGCCACACCTCTCATCAGTCCTGACTTGTTCTGCTCCCATGCCCCAGATCCTTGTTTGGTATCCATTTTACTTCTCTGATAAACTAATTCACACTAATGTTTCAATGACTAACAAAGTCTTAAGCATATCACCCTCCAAAGGTATTTTAATCACAAATAAAAATATAAATCTATCGTGCTATTAGCAAGTAGAGATTTGTGGGTGGTTTAGGGGTTGGAGACATACAGGATTCTGGAATAAGTTCATGTCCTTAGCACCCCCACAATAATATGACATGGCAATAGCTTTGCTGACCTGTAAGTAAGATTGCGTCTGACACAAGGATTTGTCTAGTGTGATACACAGTGTGTATCAGTTCCTGGAGTCTGGGGCTGTCAGAGAGACGCAGGCTGAGCAGCCAGGGCTCCTGACTTCTAGCTCAAGCCAATGAGCTTGCAATCTAACAGGGCCGAGTACACAGGCATGGTGGGAGGCTGCCGAGGCCAGCTCTGCCTCCATACACAATGGGCAGGCCACCACACAGTGAGACCAGGCAGGTTTGAAAGGCCTTGGAACTCCACCTTTTGATTAAAAAAATTGATGTAGGTAAAGAACAAATGTTCATACTACAAAACCTTGTTGTGTGTCGTCGAGTCAATTTCAACTCATGGCAACCCCATGTGACAGAGTAGAACTGCCCCGTAGGGTTTTCTAGGGCTGTAATCTTTATGGGAGCACATTGCTAGGTCTTTCTCTCACAGAGCCGCTGGGTGGGTTTGAACCGCCGACCGCCAACCATTCAGTTAGCAGCTGAACGCTTAACCTTTGTGCCACCAGGGATTCTTAATTAATACCTTAGACTAATGAAAGTGTTTATTGTAAATTTCCCCCCAAAACAGTTTAGATAGAGGGAGAGGTGTGGAGCGAGTACTAGTGTGGGGTGGTGGCTGGAAGACATAAAGAAGTTTAGGGGAGCAAAATTGGTTACATTTTGTCAAAGGTCAGCCCTTGTAAGCGCTATTCCATATTTGTCTTATTTTTCTATTCATAGTTATAGAACTTTATTATTATTTTTCTAGTAAAATCTAGTTTATCAGATAAGTAAAATGAATACCAAACAAGGCTCTGGGGCGTGACACCAGAACAGGTAAGTGCTGATGAGAGCTGTGGAGCCTGGGCAAGAGGACCCGTGAGCAGGCCCAGCTGGCACTGGGCAGATGGCTCGAAGCATCTCATGGGCACTGGGAGGGAGGAAGGCAATTATAAACACTAAATGACTGCCCACTATGGGTGCCAGGCCCGTGTTAAGTACTTCACATGCCTTTTCTTAGTCATTCTTCTATGAGGTGAATACTATCATTATTCCAGTTTACAGATAAGAAAACTGAGGCTTAATGAACTCAAGATCACAACCAGCTAGGGAGTGGACCCCATCAGGATGATCTAGCCCCAGCACCCATGCTCCCTATGCACCAATGGGATGAACCTGGAGGGAGCTCCTGTCACCTCCTGATCATTTTACAAACATGGAAAGTGAGGACCAGAGAGGGGAAATCACTTGACCAAGGTCACACAGCTACCCAGAGGCAGATCCGAGTCTAGAATCCAGCTCTCCCAGACAAATTTCTTTTTACCACATATTATAGTGTCCAGCAGGCCAACCAGCTGACCTGCTAAGCACAGCCCAGTCCTATGGGACCCTGCCTCCCTACATAAGCAGCTGCTCTCATAGGAGGCTTGTTGAAGACACCATGGTGCCCTGGCAAGGCCACTGAGTGCAGAGTTCCTGTGTCTTCCCTGGAGACGTGGAGCAGCAGGCCTCCTCCTAACTCACAGACATTGCCTCCCGGAAAACATTAAGCTGCTTTTAACCAGATGGTACAGACTTTCATAAATTTGAACAGACTGTATTTCATTTCTTGGTGTACTTAAAAACTGAGATTTACTTTCTTCTGAAGTTCTCTTTCCTGTCCCCAAGGGATCCCATGGGAAGGCAGTGGGTAATCAAGACACATTACTTGCAAAGATGAGGCCACATCATCTGCACATCAGGGTGTGTTTAAGATGTTCCTTCGGAATTTTGCATGTAGGTCTCCGGGGGGAAGTTACACCACCCTGGTGCACAGCAGTCGCAGCTTGAGCATGGGAGGCATGGAGGCACAAGGGAAGCCTGATTCAAGGTCCCCGAACCCTACACAGGAGGAACTAGGCTGTCAGCCTCCCGGGTGATGCCCAGGGGCAGCTGTGTAGGCTGCCCTCCCCCCACCGTATACACACACGCACACGCACACTCACGCACAGAGGCTGAGGTGGTGAAATTGAAATGCCAGTGGTGCCAAGACCACTTCACGCCACAGACTTGTTCCTGGCCCTCTTGGTGGCTGTGTTTGCATGGGCCTTGTCATGGACTGAATTATGTCCCCCCCAAAATATGTGTATCAATTTGGCTGAGCCATTATTCTCAGTATTGTGTGGTTGTACTCCATTTTGTGATTGTAATTTTGTGATTAGGGTGGGATTGTATCACCCTTACTAAGGTCACATCCCTGATCCAGTGTAAAGGGAGTTTCCCTGGAGTGTGGCCTGCACTGCCTTTTATCTTACACGAGATAAAAGGAAAGGGAAGCAAGCAGAGAGGGGGACCTCATACTACCAAGAAAGCAGTTCCAGGAGCAGAGCGCATCCTTTGGACTCAGGGTCCCTACGCGGAGAAGCTCCTAGTCTGGGGGAAGACTGATGATGACGAGGACCTTCCTCCAGAGCCGACAGAGAGAGAAAGCCTTCCCCTGGAGCTGATGCCCTGAATTTGGACTTGTAGCCTACTG